AGAGTTCTCCAGTCGTCACTGGGTTTGCGTTGTTAAAGTCCGTTTCTGTATTGGATTATTTTTTAATCGAGCGAATGGTCCTCTAGTGACATATATTCTGGTCCAATTGATCCAAACAAAGCGATTTCTATTAGTCATCACCATTCACATATATATATGTAGCTTAGTAATTTTCTTATAGCATCTAACTACTTATTACACAAGTAATATATGCTATTAAACCCATTCACTCATGGTGAGAATGAGTAATCTATTTATCACAAAGGGTATCAAAATGCCCACTTGTTTTCTTTTTGGATTATTTAGTAATGTACTAAGTATTTTTGGAGGTTGAAACTCTTGGAGAAGGATATATATATATATATGGAAATATCCTTTGAGAAACTTTAACCACCTAAAACTACTTTATGTAGTTCAATAATTGTATAAAAATATAAAATAATTATACCCAATTTAACCAAAAGAAATTTGAATACTAACTTTCCAAACACAAGAGAAATTAAATTAAGGCTTCATTTGGGACAATTTTCTTACAGTTTTTAAAATAAATTTTTAGTACAAAAATTTTTTAAACTAGAAATTTTTATTCTAAAATAGCTTCAAAAAGCAGTAAAAAAACTATATGAAACAAACATGATGACCTTTTCTCCACCTAATAATAATAATAATAATTTGCTATTATATATGTTTTTTTATCTATGAAGGACTAAGATATCATCAAAAGATAAATTAAATTAGAAATTTTAAGTTGACTCAAATTTAATCTTATTTATTTTAAAGATTTAATTGGTGCTTCAAATTTAACCAATGCTATTGTGTGACCAAATAGATAATAAACTTTTATGATTAAAATATCCCTATAAGATTATGTAAAGATCATTAATGACTTTAAAATATAAATTATTATTATTATTATTATTATTTAATATATATGAATACATCATATATTCATAAAATCATCTTATGTAATCTTGCGTAATCATATTACATATATATTTATATTTAAAATATTAAATATATGACACCCTACTTAATCACAGCTGTAATTTGTGCATAAATTTTAAGGATTCTTGGACTCTTTTATATATATATTTTTTGTTTATATATAAAGCAAAAGTC